ATTATGACTTTAATCTCACAATTCTCACTGTAATCTCAGAATTCTGACTTTTTTCTCAGAATTATGACTTTGATCTCAATATTATGACTATTATCTCAGAATTCTGACTTTAATCTCACAATTCTCACTGTAATCTCAGAATTCTGACCTTTTTCTCAGAATTATGACTTTTTTTCCCTATTTACTGAATTAAAATTTAAAAATCAGTTAACTTTTTTTAATTTTTTCTGTGGCCCTAATCCTCTTCCATAGATATTTAATTCTGAATTATATTTGTCTTTATCAATATCATGCTTGACCCCTGTTTTGTATTTTTTATAATCTTGAGGTAAATCTTTTTTGTAGGTTTTGATTTATTTTCAAAATTCATTTTCTTGAACCAACTTTGCAGAGATGATGTAAATTCTCTAAATCATGTCACAGGCTCTGCATCACTCTGACAACACCAAACCAAAAGACGGCATGTTTGCACCATATATATTTAATGCTCTGAACCTCCATATTGGAATACCAAAGGAAGAGGCTAATAACTCAAGATGACAAGTCTGACTCTGATTTATACCCTAATTCCCAATATCAGTCATGCTCATATAATACTTGACAATGTGACCCATTCACCAGTTTCACTAGACTGACTGCCCACTTGCCACCCTCTCATGTGACCATTCTGGAATTTACAGAGATTTTAAAAGTTACCAGTTTTTTTTTTTTTTTTTTCAAATTGTCTAAATTGTCCACATTCCTTAGGTTTAATTTCATGTGCTCCTGACCTTGGCATTGATTGAAACACTCAAATTCAATGAGTTGGTGGATTTATCTAATACTTAATTTAAAACTGTATATACTGCAACCATCAAAAAAATAAAGCATGGATAAACAGCAACAGAACCGAATCTATTTGTTTAATTAAATATTAAATAAATTCCTGGCAGTCTTTCTGAGGCTTTTTTCTTTTTTTGTCAGTATAAAATTGTATTTTGTGAGATCAGTAGTTTTTTTAATGTTTTAAATGCAGATTAACAGTTTAAAATTTAGAAGAACATTTATTGTTGAGGCAGAAAACATATAAAGCAAAACACATATAACAAATAGGTACATTTTATTGTTCAAGGGTGAGCATATTACAAAGCCTGAGATAAGAGTTAACCAAACAATAGGGATTGATTAAATCGTATGAAAAACATGTAATCATATATAGTTACCCCTTATAGCCAGTTTAATAAAGCTAGTCTTTGGCTGCTTTGAATAACTATTTACAATGTCTTGATAGGGTACAGAGAAAGGTAGAATGTTTCACATTAATCATCATATAAAAAAAAAAATGTTGTTTAGGGAATTAAAAACATTAGATGAATGTACAGAGTGGTACCCTAATGCTGGAGCAGGGCGTTTTCATTTTCTAACCTCTTTTCTTTCAAAACGTAAGGCAATTCAACTTTCAATTTAGTCTCCTATTTTAAGCTCTTTTACATTAATGACCATTGACTGTTATTTGGAGAGATGTTTTTTTATTTACTTGATTGTCTATATTTTGCCAATAAAGTGGAGGAGAGGAGAGTTTTGTGTCCGAGGTCGTGGATGAGTCTCCTCTGTCATACATTTTTTATGTAGAGGAGGAAAGTGGGGACGAAGGTGTTGTGGAAGAGGACGCCAGGGCGGCAAAAGCTTGGTTTGGTGTAGAAGGCTTACAGCTGTACATGTTTAAACCCTTGCCTCGCAACGCTGCCAGTTCTGTTAGCTCTATGCCTGCCGAAGACACAGACGTCCATCCCTGTGAACACTGGGACGTTACTCAATAGTAGAGTAAA